GCTTTTTCTTTTTATTAAGGCCTTGTATGTCTCATCGGTCAGTCGACCTTCAAAGTCCTTGAGCGAAAACACGTCGGCGACACGAGAGGCACCAAAACATTTACGTGACCACTCGGTGGATGACTAAGCGAACTAAGATGATGACTCAGCACATTGAGAAGGATGACTCAGCGCATTAGGAAGGATGACTCAGCGCATTAAAAGGGATTACTCGCAGAGTAAATCATGTGTCCTTTAATTCATCGGCGCTGGGGCTTTCGCCTTGAAGTCGTCTTAGGTATAACGTAAGGGACACTGCGAATTTTGTTATTTTATTCCAATAATGTATATCAACGCGGGAAATCGGAGTGACGCACAACCGAAACGTGACGTAAAGATATCCGATCTTGCTCTCCAGGAGCGTTGCTCAAAATATAAGCTACATATGACTCAACCCCGAATTCGCATTCAATTTATGAATTACTCCCATGATAAAGTATGTTAATATGGGGACATAAGAAGCTGCAGCACTGCGGACAGGAAAATACTAAGATTATATCAAAATTAGAATAGCAAACACAAGAATAATGCACAAAAAAAAAAAAAAAGATTTGTACAACGCGAATAATGTGCACAATATGTGCTGAAACATCTGCAGCCAGTATAGTTTGGTTGAGGACTTGGCACTTTCTCGGGCCTATCGATGGGTACTACACATGCGCAGTGTTGCACAGCACATTCTTGATGTTTGTACTTATACGAAAATTTTACGCGTGGGCTATAATGAAATAGAACCAATCCTGAGAGGGACGACGCGAAAGCGGTGATGAGAAGGAATGAAACACCTGTTAAAGCGTCGTGACAAAAAAAATGACGTTTGTGTTTATACAGCGTAAGGTCGACCTGCCTTTGAGGTGTAGCGACACTTGTTTACGCTGCAGACAAAAAATTCAGCCAGTGCAGTACCACTGCTAGCCCGGGCTCTTCAGCGTGTATCAAGCAGTATTGATACACGACCGCCTGCCGGTACGATGCTCATCCAGATCGGAACGTGCAGGGGTTGGGATTGATTGTGGCAGACGAGATAGCGTGCATAATAAGTTTCTAAGAGAAGCGAGAAACAGCTTCATCTTATAAGGTATTAAGTTATTTGTTTGTTTGTCTGTTTTTTGAGGTGACACGTGGAGAAACACAGTGGGGAATTCAGTAGCATTGAACGGGAAATTGGCGTATGCACCGGTCAAAAGTAACTAGCAAGAAGAATTCCAGCTTTACAACCTTGTGCGCATCATGGTCGCACACGGGTGAGCCAGACAAGCAAATACTACATTTCAAGTGGCGGACGTCATACTTGGTGGACATCGACGCGATAACGATGGTGGCAACGCTTGCACTCGAGGTCTGAGATGGTGCCACCATGTCGAAACCGAAACAACGAATTGTCGTGTAAACGTGGCGGGAACATTTACAAAAACAGCCATGCCACACTCACGTGACGAGATCGTTTCTGCAGCGATAGCTAGTATGGGCTCTTCCCCCCCCCCCCCCCCCCCCCCAACTTGAAATGATGTTTATCCTCATCCCTCCAAAATAACGTGGCACCAAATTTAAGTGCCCGCGCCGCATCTGCCCGATCTGCCTTGCCCTAACATTGTGCGAGGGGTAGCGGTTCTTCTCTCGCCCCAAATAATTACTGTTCTGTTTACTAATATCCGAAGTGTCATGCGAAATCGCGACGATCTATGCTCTGCCTGACTCCACCGGGGCTGATGTTGTAGTTTTGACAGAAACGTGGCTCTCTAGCAAAATTCATGATAACGAAATCCTAACTACTAACAAACGCTTCAAAATTTATCGTGATGATAGGGAAGCTCGCCAAGGCGGAGGTGTGCTGATTGCAGTCGCCGAACTTATAGATTCCCTTTATTTGAATGTTGCGAGCGACCTAGAAACAGTCTTTGTTTGCCTTTCTGTGAATCACAAAAAATATATCTTGGGTGCCCGTTACCGCCCTCCCTCAAGTGACGATAGCTTTCTGAACAAAGTTTATGACGTAATCAGTACAGTGAACTTGCGATCTCCCACACCAAACTTCATCCTTCTCGGTGATTTTAACGATCCAAATATTGTGTAGTCGGCGGAAACAGCTTACGCAAGCTTTTTTTCGTCTGACAGTGACAAATTCCTCAAATTATGTTCGGACTACAATTTCTCTCAGCTAGTGTCTCGCCCCACCAGAATTACGCCCTCCTGTGCCTCAGTGTTAGATCTTGCATTGTCAACCTTCGCCGACCTTGTTTCCCCTATTACCTATCTACCTGGGTTTAGTGATCATTTATTGCTGCATTTTACCTTAAATACTACCACAAGCCATTCCCCGAAAATAGTTAAACAGATTCGTGATTACGGAAAAGCTAATTTTACGGCTATAAATAGTGAATTGTGTGAATTTCTGAGTTACTTTGTGGGGCAAATTGCTTTGAACGCTCTGTAGATGAAAATTGGTGCCTGTTTCGAAACAATGTTAACTATTTAATAAGCACATATATTCCTGTTCGCACATTATCATCCAAAAGTAATTCTCTTTGGTACAACACCAGACTTAAATGACTTTCCAATGAAAAGAAACGCCTGTTTCGTGTAGCCAAACTTTCAAAACAAGATAGTCATTTTAACGCCTATCATTGCGCCGAGCAGGAATATAAACGTGCAGTATTAGAAGTAAAACGCAATTTTTTTACTAACAGGTTGCCCACAATTTTATCTACAAATGTTCGCCACTTTTGGAACTTAATCAAGCCTAATAATAACCATGGTGACCTGAAGCTTACAAACGCAGATGGGGAACGAGTAGGTGAAAATGAGTGTGCATCATTGCTAAACGATATATTTATACAATCTTTTTCTTCCACCGATGTTTCTGTGTACCCCAACTTTAATTGCCCTGAATTTTTGCCAATGAATCCAATATTAATATCATATGATGGTATAGCTGCAATAATTAATAACCTGAAGCTCTCCTCCTCATCCGGTATTGACAATATTAACTCTAAATTCTTAAAGAACACGAAGTCGTATTCATCAGCTATACTATCAATGATTTTTAAGCAATCATTGGAGGACGGCAGCCTTCCCGAAAACTGGAAAGTTGGAGAGGTGATTCCAATTCATAAAAGTGGCAACCACTCCTCACCGAACTTCCGGCCAATTTCTTTAACATCCATTCCTTGTAAGATACTCGAACATATCATATATTCTAACCTCGCATGTTTCCTAGAATCGAATTCTTTTTTTTTACCCAACTCAACACGGCTTCTGCAAATCATTTTCCTGTGAAACACAGCTTCTGCTCGTCCCTAATAATCTTCATTCTGTCCTTGACCGTGGCTCCCAGATAGACTGCGTTTTCCTTGATTTCTCTAAGGCCTTCGATAAAGTTTCTCACCGGCCACTCCTATTAAAACTTAGCAACCTCAACATTGATCCGAACGTGTCACGCTGGATAGAATCTTTTTTAACCAACCGTTCTCAATTTGTGCATGCCAATGGTACTAACTCTTCACTTTCTTCCGTAGCATCTGGAGTTCCCCAGGGTTCTGTTTTAGGTCCGCTACTTTTCCTCATCTATATTAATGATCTGTCTGAATGTATCTCCTCTAATATTAGTTTATTTTCTGATGATTGTGAACTATATAGAGAAATAACAGATAACTCCGACATCTCTGTTCTCCAATCTGATCTTAACTCTGTATCTAACTGTGCGACATGTGGTTGATGCAACTCAATCTTAATAAATGTAAATCCATGAGAGTTTCCCGTCATACTAACATATGCTCAAATTACTACATTGGCAACACTCCGCTGCAGTCTGTGTTCTCTTACAAATACTTAGGTGTTTACATAACTTCTGATCTTTCCTGGGAAACTCACACTAACTACGTAACTAACAACGCCAATCGCATGCTCGGATATCTCAAACGAAATTTTTCACAGTCACCAGTGTCACTAAAACTCCTTTTATATACTACTTTAGTACGTACTAAACTTGAATATGCATGTTCTATCTGGGACCCCGGTCATAACACTATCATTGCCACATTGGAATCAGTTCAAAATCGTGCAGCGCGTTTCATACTCTGTAATTACCATCGTACATCCAGTGTTACTTCAATGAAAAATAGCCTTGGTTTACCCACACTAATGAACCGTAGACGCATTTTTCGCCTTACTTTATTTCATAAGATTTACCATAATAACCCTTTCATGCGCCGTGAACTTCTAACGCCACCTACTTATGTTTCATCCCGCGTAGATCACCAGTACAAAGTCGGTATCCCCAATTACGAAACTAACACTTATTAGAACTCCTTTGTTCCTCGCACTAGCTCTGATTGGTATCGCCTTTCCGCTGACATAGCCTCCATAACCAATATTATTGATTTTAAAAATGCCTTGTTTGTTAATTTTGGTTTAATCATTTTTCTAGTTGGTATTACTATTATAACATTGTGTAAATATTTTTGAAGTGCCTAAGTAAGCGTGCATTAATTACTGTATTATATTTTATGTATCAACAACTGTACCCTTGTCACCTAATCCCCCCCCCCCCCCCCCCCTCCCCTCTGTAATGCCCTTCGGGGCCTTGAGGGTAAATAAATAAATAAATAAATTATGTAGGGCGTCCATCGATATCGTCATATAACACCGCCATGCCACACTCACGTGACGTCATGAGGTCATGTGACATTAAGTTGTCACGCGACATAAGGGTGTCACGTCGTCACGTGACGTCACAGGGTCACGTGACGTCACACGACGTAACAGTGTCATGTGACGGTTGATCTAAATGACTGCGTCACTCTCCGAGCAGACTGGCGATGGTTCGTCCATATAAGATGCAAAATACGCAAGCGCAAGTTACATATAAACAGGGTTCGATCAGGCGTCGCAGCTGTCGCTGTGAGTGTATTGTGGGTTCACGCAGTACTGCTAATTTTTTTGTTATGTTGTGTTCGTTGCAGCCTTCGTCGCCATCTTGAAACTGGTCGGCCCTACCCTGGGCTACTCTCTGGGCTCACTGTGTCTCCAGTATTACGAAGATCCTCGATGTGAGTTCATGTACGTGAAGATTCTGACATCTATTGCGCGTTCTAGATGAGATGGGTGGAACCTCCGCAGTTGTAGAGTTCTGTGACGCCAGCCCACTCTCACCCCTACCCCAGAAGAAATATGAAATTGCAGGTGTGCGATTTCTCCAGAGAAAAAGTTTTGCTCTTTTGGAAGGTGTTTGAAAGATGTACAAATCATACGAGCCACGAAATATTAGTGTTCTACCTCTGAAAATGTGTTTTGTAAATTTGTATTCCGCAAAATTTTTTAACTGTGTTTTAGGAAACAATTATTGAAAATTAGTTTCGGATATCTTTTTTATTTTTTATACCCCGTTTCAACATCAGCAAGCATGCACATGTCTATGTGCAGAAAAAAAAATACAAAAAAAACTGGGAAATTTGTTGCTGGGGGGCGCAATGTTTTCTCGGTTTCAGTACGTAGCAACGTTTCCCTACCCATTCGACCACCCTCACAATATAAACAGAATGTGTGCGTTAACTTTCTACCAAACACGCAGGTAGTCAATTACTGCAAGCGTCGGAAGGATCGTAGCGATTGGAAAGAATACAATTAGTCATGACAAATGCGATTCGCGCGGGCCCAATGGGCATGGCGTTTCTCTTGCTCGTTGTTTAATTGTATTTAATCAATCAATCAATCGTTATTGATCTTCTGTAGACAACAAAAGCACTGAATATTGCATCTGAATCCTAGTTCTGGGCCTATTTTTTGGGTATATAAATAAGGGATGCGGGTTTTACCTGGCACGCAAGCTAGTGCCGCACACGCCAAGAAATCAAAGAACAAAATTCAGGGTTCCCAACCTTTCTAATTAATGCTTTTTCTTTTCTTTTTAGAGTCAGTGAAAATGATTTTGAGTTTCATCGTTCAGGAGAATCCTTCTGCTGTTCGCAGATACTGGTTACTTCCGCGTTCTGCAGGAAAATGAATGCGTGTAATATATATATATATATATATATATATATATATATATATATATATATATATATATATGTATGTGAGTTTTACACGCCGACATACCTGGCGGCCGGAACGGCCATGCAGCGGGCGATAGACATCAGATCTGTTCGCAACTCCAAAAGGAGGCGACGGCACCGCGCAGAAAAGACGTGTAAGAAAGGATGAATGAACAAAAAGTAAGGGCGCAAACGAGCTGGTGTACATTGCACATGGTTGAAAAAACCCCGAGACTGCGGGTAAACGACACAACACTAAAAAGTCTCTATACTAAAAAGAGACTTTTTAGTGTTGTGTTGTTTACCCGCAGTCTCGATGTTTTTCCAACCATAAGAAAGGATATGAGGGGAAAGGAGAGGAGGGAGCTACCGCCTGTCCAAGTGGGCAGCGAGAACTGGTGCGCCGCCAAGGAGGCCATCCCGCTTCTCTGCTCCGCAAACGGAGCTTCAATTACTCCGGGTTCAAGCATCGCCAAATGAGGCGTAAAAGTAGTACACGGGAGTTTCTTACGAGGCAAAAGACGAGTGACTCTCTCGCAATATGGACCTCGTTCTCATTTTGCACAATGGCATTCGCTGTCAGTTTCGTTTTCGCGTCTCAGGTTGACCTTGGCTCGGCTCCATGATTGTTATCGCCGGCACTTGACCCGAAAGGAAAGCTTCCACGCCTGGAAAAAATGCCTCGCCCTCCCCACTTCCCTCTCTACAATGATGTCCTCTCACTTCCTTTTTTTTTTTTTTTACTTATTGCCATATTGCGCTTAAGAAAAACTTTGCCAAGCAAAACTTGATTTATTTGGCATAGATTGATGAATGATTACAAATTCGTCGGCACTTGTTGGTGAAGGCACTTTCTGGGCTCTACATGTTTATATGACAAAATTCTATTTGCACATTTGTTGTACAAATTATAATTCCTTTTAGAGATGACGTCCCTGACCTTTTGTAGTGACGGTCTGGGATTAGAAATCTCTTCAATAACGCACCCATTGCGTTAATTTCGTAACCATTTCCATGCTTACTTTTTTCGCCATAGTCTGTCTAGCTCGTGCGTGGCGCAAAAAGAAGCTACCTCGCTGCATACGTCGAATGCCTGTACTACAGCACCGTGCTGTCAGAAGTGATGCCGCGTATACCTTCCTCAAATGTCCATGCACTGTTTCATCAGTCACTTTGACCGTGCACTAGTGTTGCGCCAGCCGGCCGTAGGCCCTAGCTGAAGATCGACATAGCTGGCATAAGAATCGAGCCCATTCCATTCCCACTTCATTCCGGGCAAAAGGCATATAATTCACGATAACGAAAGAGGGTCATTGAAGACAAACAGACGACACAGGCTTTCGACTTGCTAAAACATGTTTACTGATTTCACATTGCCTCCCGAAACTTGACGGAGGGGGGGGGGGGGGGGGGGGAGGGGGACGTCGCGGAGAGAGGGAGGGACGGAGGGAGGGTCGTGGGTGAGAGAAGCAGGAGCCATCTGGGTGCCAGCAGTTATGCGTGCACTGCGGACAGAAGGGGTCTGCTGTGTGTCGTTCGACACGTCACCAAAAAGGTACGCCGGCCTAACTGCTCATTCACACTGGAAGCGGATCCGCGTTTACAAATCGGTTGCGAACACGGTTTTATTGGGCAGGAGATCGAACTATAGGGGGCGCTTTATCGAGCTTGTTGTCCACAAAGCCCGGTGTTTACTAACACAGCATTACAAAGGAATTGTACCTCGCCGAGCACGGTCCGGGCACGAGCGCTTCGCTTTGACCAGTGCTTTGGACGCACGAGGAGCGGCCTTCGAATCGTCATCTTTGATTTCTCTGATCAACAACAAACAATAAAATTAGGTTTGTTGTCCACACAGCTGCAGCATGCCGCTAGTGGCGTGACTGTTCGATCTCCCCCCCAATAAAGATCCAGTGCAATTTCACGCGCATTTAATGTCATCGAGTGCGCGTGCAATTGTACTGGATCTTTATACAACCGCGTTCGCGGGTCCGCTTCCAGTGTGAATGAGCGGTAAGGGCCGGCGTACCTTTTTGGGAAGGGAAGGGAGGAGGGGGAAAGGGCACGGAGACAAGAAGTTCAAGTAAGGCCCGGCGTACCTTTCTGGGAAGGGAAGGGAGGAGGGGGAAAGGGCATGGAGACAAGGAGAAGTTCAAGTAAGGGCCGGCGTACCTTTTTGGGAAGGGAAGGGAGGAGGGGGAAAGGGCACGGAGACAAGGAGAAGTTCAAGTAAGGCCCGGCGTACCTTTTTGGGAAGGGAAGGGAGGAGGGGGAAAGGGCATGGAGACAAGGAGAAGTTCAAGTAAGGGCCGGCGTACCTTTTTGGGAAGGGAAGGGAGGAGGGGGAAAGGGCACGGAGACAAAGAGAAGTTCAAGTAAGGGCCGGCGTACCTTTTTGGGAAGGGAAGGGAGGAGGGGGAAAGGACACGGAGACAAGGAGAAGTTCAAGTAAGGGCCGGCGTACCTTTTTGGGAAGGGAAGGGAGGAGGGGGAAAGGGCACGGAGACAAGGAGAAGTTCAAGTAAGGCCCGGCGTACCTTTTTGGGAAGGGAAGGGAGGAGGGGGAAAGGGCATGGAGACAAGGAGAAGTTCAAGTAAGGGCCGGCGTACCTTTTTGGGAAGGGAAGGGAGGAGGGGGAAAGGGCACGGAGACAAAGAGAAGTTCAAGTAAGGCCCGGCGTACCTTTTTGGGAAGGGAAGGGAGGAGGGGGAAAGGACACGGAGACAAGGAGAAGTTCAAGTAAGGGCCGGCGTACCTTTTTGGGAAGGGAAGGGAGGAGGGGGAAAGGGCATGGAGACAAGGAGAAGTTCAAGTAAGCGCCGGCGTACCTTTTTGGGAAGGGAAGGGAGGAGGGGGAAAGGGCACGGAGACAAGGAGAAGTTCAAGTAAGGGCCGGCGTAGCTTTTTGGGAAGGGAAGGGAGGAGGGGGAAAGGGCACGGAGACAAGAAGTTCAAGTAAGGGCCGGCGTACCTTTTTGGGAAGGGAAGGGAGGAGGGGGAAAGGGCACGGAGACAAGGAGAAGTTCAAGTAAGGGCCGGCGTAGCTTTTTGGGAAGGGAAGGGAGGAGGGGGAAAGGGCACGGAGACAAGGAGAAGTTCAAGTAAGGGCCGGCGTAGCTTTTTGGGAAGGGAAGGGAGGAGGGGGAAAGGGCACGGAGACAAGGAGAAGTTCAAGTAAGGGCCGGCGTACCTTTTTGGGAAGGGAAGGGAGGAGCGGGAAAGGGCACGGAGACAAGGAGAAGTTCAAGTAAGGGCCGGCGTACCTTTTTGGGAAGGGAAGGGAGGAGCGGGAAAGGGCACGGAGACAAGGAGAAGTTCAAGTAAGGGCCGGCGTAGCTTTTTGGGAAGGGAAGGGAGGAGGGGGAAAGGGCACGGAGACAAGGAGAAGTTCAAGTAAGGGCCGGCGTAGCTTTTTGGGAAGGAAAGGGAGGAGGGGGAAAGGGCACGGAGACAAGGAGAAGTTCAAGTAAGGGCCGGCGTACCTTTTTGGGAAGGGAAGGGAGGAGGGGGAAAGGGCACGGAGACAAGGAGAAGTTCAAGTAAGGGCCGGCGTACCTTTTTGGGAAGGGAAGGGAGGAGGGGGAAAGGGCACGGAGACAAAGAGAAGTTCAAGTAAGGGCCGGCGTACCTTTTTGGGAAGGGAAGGGAGGAGGGGGAAAGGGCACGGAGACAAGAAGTTCAAGTAAGGCCCGGCGTACCTTTTTGGGAAGGGAAGGGAGGAGGGGGAAAGGGCATGGAGACAAGGAGAAGTTCAAGTAAGGGCCGGCGTACCTTTTTGGGAAGGGAAGGGAGGAGGGGGAAAGGGCACGGAGACAAGGAGAAGTTCAAGTAAGGCCCGGCGTACCTTTTTGGGAAGGGAAGGGAGGAGGGGGAAAGGGCATGGAGACAAGGAGAAGTTCAAGTAAGGGCCGGCGTACCTTTTTGGGAAGGGAAGGGAGGAGGGGGAAAGGGCACGGAGACAAAGAGAAGTTCAAGTAAGGGCCGGCGTACCTTTTTGGGAAGGGAAGGGAGGAGGGGGAAAGGACACGGAGACAAGGAGAAGTTCAAGTAAGGGCCGGCGTACCTTTTTGGGAAGGGAAGGGAGGAGGGGGAAAGGGCACGGAGACAAGGAGAAGTTCAAGTAAGGCCCGGCGTACCTTTTTGGGAAGGGAAGGGAGGAGGGGGAAAGGGCATGGAGACAAGGAGAAGTTCAAGTAAGGGCCGGCGTACCTTTTTGGGAAGGGAAGGGAGGAGGGGGAAAGGGCACGGAGACAAAGAGAAGTTCAAGTAAGGCCCGGCGTACCTTTTTGGGAAGGGAAGGGAGGAGGGGGAAAGGACACGGAGACAAGGAGAAGTTCAAGTAAGGGCCGGCGTACCTTTTTGGGAAGGGAAGGGAGGAGGGGGAAAGGGCATGGAGACAAGGAGAAGTTCAAGTAAGGGCCGGCGTACCTTTTTGGGAAGGGAAGGGAGGAGGGGGAAAGGGCACGGAGACAAGGAGAAGTTCAAGTAAGGGCCGGCGTAGCTTTTTGGTAAGGGAAGAGAGGAGGGGGAAAGGGCACGGAGACAAGAAGTTCAAGTAAGGGCCGGCGTACCTTTTTGGGAAGGGAAGGGAGGAGGGGGAAAGGGCACGGAGACAAGGAGAAGTTCAAGTAAGGGCCGGCGTAGCTTTTTGGGAAGGGAAGGGAGGAGGGGGAAAGGGCACGGAGACAAGGAGAAGTTCAAGTAAGGGCCGGCGTAGCTTTTTGGGAAGGGAAGGGAGGAGGGGGAAAGGGCACGGAGACAAGGAGAAGTTCAAGTAAGGGCCGGCGTACCTTTTTGGGAAGGGAAGGGAGGAGCGGGAAAGGGCACGGAGACAAGGAGAAGTTCAAGTAAGGGCCGGCGTACCTTTTTGGGAAGGGAAGGGAGGAGCGGGAAAGGGCACGGAGACAAGGAGAAGTTCAAGTAAGGGCCGGCGTAGCTTTTTGGGAAGGGAAGGGAGGAGGGGGAAAGGGCACGGAGACAAGGAGAAGTTCAAGTAAGGGCCGGCGTAGCTTTTTGGGAAGGAAAGGGAGGAGGGGGAAAGGGCACGGAGACAAGGAGAAGTTCAAGTAAGGGCCGGCGTACCTTTTTGGGAAGGGAAGGGAGGAGGGGGAAAGGGCACCGAGACAAGGAGAAGTTCAAGTAAGGGCCGGCGTACCTTTTTGGGAAGGGAAGGGAGGAGGGGGAAAGGGCACGGAGACAAGGAGAAGTTCAAGTAAGGGCCGGCGTACCTTTTTGGGAAGGGAAGGGAGGAGGGGGAAAGGGCACGGAGACAAGGAGAAGTTCAAGTAAGGGCCGGCGTACCTTTTTGGGAAGGGAAGGGAGGAGGGGGAAAGGGCACGGAGACAAGGAGAAGTTCAAGTAAGGGCCGGCGTACCTTTTTGGGAAGGGAAGGGAGGAGGGGGAAAGGGCACGGAGACAAGGAGAAGTTCAAGTAAGGGCCGGCGTACCTTTTTGGGAAGGGAAGGGAGGAGGGGGAAAGGGCACGGAGACAAGGAGAAGTTCAAGTAAGGGCCGGCGTACCTTTTTGGGAAGGGAAGGGAGGAGGGGGAAAGGGCACGGAGACAAGGAGAAGTTCAAGTAAGGGCCGGCGTACCTTTTTGAGAAGGGAAGGGAGGAGGGGGAAAGGGCACGGAGACAAGGAGAAGTTCAAGTAAGGGCCGGCGTACCTTTTTGGGAAGGGAAGGGAGGAGGGGGAAAGGGCACGGAGACAAGGAGAAGTTCAAGTAAGGGCCGGCGTACCTTTTTGGGAAGGGAAGGGAGGAGGGGGAAAGGGCACGGAGACAAGGAGAAGTTCAAGTAAGGGCCGGCGTACCTTTTTGGGAAGGGAAGGGAGGAGGGGGAAAGGGCACGGAGACAAAGAGAAGTTCAAGTAAGGGCCGGCGTACCTTTTTGGGAAGGGAAGGGAGGAGGGGGAAAGGGCACGGAGACAAGGAGAAGTTCAAATGACAACGTATCGTAATTTAGACACCAACAGGCTCAACCCTCCACTTTTAATTCCATTCGCATTCCATTCCCGAGTCGCTGAAATGCTGAATGATTCCAAAATCATTCAAACCCCAAAGTGGCAACTCCGCAACCGCAACACTGCGACCAACTAGCCGCCGGAATAAACTACTATTCAGGAAGACCGCCTACGTCTCTCTGCTTCTAATATGCGACGAATTTTGACTTCTCCGTTCCGCAGACGACCCTGGAGTGCAGAAGACAGATCCCCGATGGGTCGGCGCCTGGTGGCTGGGCTACGCACTTCTGGCGGTGTGCTTAACCGCCATCGCCGTGCCCGTGCTCCTTTTTCCCAAGCATCTGTCTCCCCCAGGTGCCAGGGACCCTTCGAAGGCACCGACAGGATCATCCGAGCAAAAGCCTGCTGAGACATCGGCGACCAGAATTCCAGGTCAATATTCCGTAGACCGTTTTGTTGCTTAACATAACTACAAAAACGTGGTGGTTATTAAGCAAAAGTATGAATCTTTCAAAGTATAATAGCTCGACCGCCTTATTGACAGTGTTTATCATAGGCTGGCAGTGAGTACCAACCTCGTCTGGGACGCGTAAACTAGCGGTCCTTCAATCAAAAAATGTGTACTATAAAAAAAAAAAAGTGCCTCAGGAAACGTCACTAGCGAATACTATCTCCAGATACCGTAAACGGCAACGTTCTCCTATAGAAGACAGACAAAAAAATAAGATTGCCACAATCTTACAGCATGGTTGGCAGTTCCATGACAGGGATTGAGACTAAACCTAATTCAGCCTTGGAACTAGTAATGGTTTTACCCTTTGTCGTGTACGATCTCGTGCTCATCTCACATAATAGTATTATCCCTCGCCGTATTCTGAATTCCTATCAGGCGGTTCCGGGTTTTCCTACGAGGTGCCCCGATAAAAAGTACCCAACCAGCAAAATAGATAAATGGGCTAGTTGGTACATCATTGAATGGAAAGCGCCGAATAAACAAGGACCAAGAAGGGGACAGAGACGAAGCGCTTCGTCTCTGTCCCCTTCTTGGTCCTTGTTTATTCGGCGCTTTCCATTCAATGACCCAACCAGCCACTGCGCAGGACATAAGCGTAGTCAGACAAGGAAGATGGTTGTCGAGTCTACCTGTTTCGAGGCACTCGCACGCACATAACAATAATGATAATACCAATAATGATGACTATGATGAATAGATACGTAAAGCTGTCGTCACACCGTTCATACATTACACAAAGGGCAGCCTTCAGACACTGTCTGAGGCAAGTTTCTTCCTCGTATGACTGTCCTGTCCAGGCTTGTCCTACAAAAGCTATCTGCAGACATGTTCGAAGCATACGGATATAAGAAATAAACACATGCTTTGAAGATGCTTTAGGCGCGTTGGCATATATTTCTGTGATCGTGTCCATGCCGCGAATACCGTGTCTTTCGTATATGACGTACGAGTAGTTTGATGTCGTGACGTTGCACGAAGAACGAGAACCGCATCCCCTTTCTCCCTGTTGCTTCGCAGAGCAGAGTTTCTGGAGAGCGCTTCGTTCCCTGTTCCACAACCCGGTGTATAAGTACCGGCTGGTCTACTGGCTGCTCGCCAGCAACGCCACCCTGGGTCACGGAATGATGAGCTCCAAGTACATCGAAGTCCAGTTCAGGACGTCCGCCTCTCGGGCCAGCTTCATCATCGGTACGTGCGCGCGAACACGCCGATGCCTCGGCACCCATGCACCGACGCAGCGAGGCCACGGTGCTGGATTTGCTACGTCATCTATTGGAGGCCGTGGTGCGTTACGGGCACGAGTGCCGCGCCATCGGTCAGCTGAATTGGTACACGAGTTCAAGCCGAATGTCGACCAAGCACTCGTATCCAAACCGTTTCCTCTCGTTGAAATCCGGTATGGTATTTAGGAAGTCCAGCACTACGGACTCGCCATTTCTGAGGTGTTGACTGGCGCTGTAACTATATACATATTTTTAGCATTTATCGCCCGGACAAAAAGAGCCGAGACACTGGGAGGTTGACGAATGCGCGGCGTTGAAAATCCTGCGGGAAAGAGCTACTGCGCATGTCCAGAACGGGCTCCACGGCCCAGCAGACGTGACGGTGTACAAAAGGCCATTATTGGAAGGGCCTATGCGCGGCTTGCATTGATGTCACGTCAGCTGCCACTATGGTGCTCTTGCCGCTGAGCTCGTACCTTCTGGGGCATATAGTTTGCGACATCTGATTTGTTTTTTCTTGGCAAGAACAATTCTAAGAATGAGTACCAGGGTGTTGCAATAACGGCACGAGCAGGCCACGTGCGTGCCTTATATGTGACGTGAATCCGCAGCAGGGCCGTAAATAATCTTAATAAAACACTAAGTCAATGCAAATAATTACAATTTTAGTCACTATAGTTACTTTCTAAGTTGCAATAATTAATCTTCGAATAACTAGTCTTAGTGAAATGGAGAAGGGTCTATCTGGTTGACGCTGCCAGTCATAGATGGCACCACAAACGCTTGGATCTGCTGAATCTGCTTGCGGGTGTTTTCATATCAAGTAAGCTTTCTCGTTTTTGCTTTATGTAGAGACATATGTGAATAGCTGTGTCAACCAGACGGTTTTTACAGTTTTTCTTTCTGTCCGTAGAAAAGAAAAAAGGGATTTCTCGGGTTTACATTTTTTTTTCTCTAAAACCCACATGTGTGAAATTTGACTGATAAATTCACTACCTAAAGACATTTATGGAAAATATTTTATTGCACTCAGTTCGCGGGTTTATTTACACTATTGTTTTGCACCCGTATAACGCTTGGAAAATTTATAGTGGTCGTCGTTAATCTTTATAACGGGCTTTCCGTTATAGCTGGGTCTTCGTTGTAGCGGGGTCTTCGTTGTAGCGGGGTCTTCGTTGTAGCAAGGTCTTTGTTATAGCGGGGTCTTTGTATTAACGAGGCACGACTGTAGCAAGTCCTTCATTGGGAGAATTTTTACTCTCGTTCTAGGACCCATGCTGCTCGTGACCAACGTCCTGGGTCTGGGCATCGGAGGCCTGGCTCTAAACGCGTTTCGACCGCGAGCCCGCGTTTTGACCTCGTACACGACGTTCTGCGACGTTCTCAAGCTGACCTGCCTGGTGCTCTGCATGTTCATCGGCTGCCAGGGCATCAACCTCGTCGGCCTCACGGCGATGTCCCAGGACGGACGGTGGGAACCTCGATGTCACTTTAGGATGTCGAGAGGACTACAGTCAACGGCTGTAGGGGAGAGCTTACAGCTACGCAGTCATACGTCAGGATCAATCAATCAATGAATCAAGTATTTTAGTTTTCCAAGGCGAAAATAAATTCTCCTTGGAAGGTCCGGAAGGTACAAAGTCGCCTGACAGTGCACCAATGACCATACTTTCACCATTACTGTCCGGCGATGGTCGATTGTGTAGCTGTACGCTCGCGCGTCTCCAGCACACAGCCAACTCGGGGCTGAGAAACGTTGAGGTGTTAAGCTTTTGTAGTTACTATTTTATTATTATTTAGGATTTAGTAATACTTTTTGTGACAAATGTTTGACCTGTTTAAATTTACGGAGCCAAATTATGTCATTTTTTATGCGTTCTTCATTTCTACAAAGAACTCCTCAACTTTTTTTTTATCCTTTTCTTTCTCGTGAGAATGCTCACAGAGGGTTGAACTTTTTCCGTCAATTTGTTCGTCACCGGGCAGCAAGTTAGCGTTGACAGCCATATATTCAGCTGTTAATGAACTCAATGAATCGGTTTCTTCTTGGTAGTAATTTTTTTCCCCTAAACGTTTACTTCAGGCCACCACTGGAGACCGCGTGCAGCACAGGCTGCAACTGTACGACGAGGGCATTCCAACCAATCTGCGATCCGGCTAACAACTCGATCCACTTCTCGCCCTGCTTTGCAGGCTGCAGGACACTACAGAATGTAAGAGGTGTCCGTTATCACGTCCGTTGCCAAAGAACGTTGTTGGTGGCGCGGTTTTACAGTTCCGTTCACGCCGTTAAACGGTTGGTCTAAACCGTCAAATGGTTTAGATAAAGTAATCGTGTTATGCGTGCGTATAGACTGCGGAAAATTCGCGAGCCTCAATAAGTGTCTGATGTCTCCTCTGTAGATGAGAAATGGACCCCATTTTTAAAACCCCATCGAGCAACATTGGTGGCCGCCATTTCTTGGGCACGAAGCGTCTGATTGGATACGAGTTCACGGCGAACGCTGACGCGGTCCTCGTGTCACATACGCGATCAAAATACGGTCCCAAACAACGGCGGTCTTTGGATAATTGGCTCAGCAGCTACCAGATAGAGCGTATACTTTTAAAAGGGAGGCACTCACTTGACCGATTGACGTTTTAGCGAACGCCCACGTTTCACCGAATGACACTTTAGCGAACACTCGGACGCCGCGAAGCGGCGTTTTCGGGTGGGCCAAATGGGTTCACATTTTTGTAATGAGCCGCCGCAGACTGTCGCCGCGAAGCGGCGAAAGCGCAGCGCGGCGGATGGGTTAACGCGCGCCCCCGTTATTCGCTAAAACGTCGATTCGCTCAAATGTCGCTGTTCGCTAAAACGTCATTCGCTCATGTGATATGGACCCTGACTTTCGATATTCTAAGCGTATTTAGCAGCTCCTAACTGTTATAGTGTTTCATGAAGGTGCCTGGAGCAGTCGAGGATTGGCAGATCAGATTTCTTGAACCAAACATCTGCACAAATGCATACCGTGTGTAAAAATATTGCTCCTTTTTCGATTCTTAATGAGTTCACGAATACTCACTTGTGTTTCTTAGGTTGTAAGCTGCTCATATTGGACAGTTTCTGACTACCTCTCATTCACGCTGCGTTTCTTAGATAATCATAGGGCCACGTGTCATCAACACGTGATGACTAAGTAAAAAGAAAAAAAGGCTCTTTCCTCGTAGGCATACAAACGAACCAATATAGGACTTACAGGTGACGTCGTCTCACCGTCTGGTGGTCATTCCTACTTGTTCTTGAAGAAGGCAGCCGATTCGGTGTTACAAATTTATTTCGCTAGAAACACACCCAGCAGCAGGGCAACACATATGGCAGCTAATGTAATGGCAATGCAAGCAATGCATAGCACCAAGTAATCCCCCCTCTTCCTATCCCCAGAACCATTTTCTGCCTTTTCTCCTCTTATCCCAAGCGAAAAAAACAGTGAGTGCGCAGGCCAGCTGGTGGAAGTTGATCATGATGCGGAATACCCGAGACATTTTTCAAAGCTGGGAAACTTGGTTGAAGAGAGAAGACAGGGGAAAAGAACGAGACGTTCTTTTTTCCTGTCTTTTCTCTTCAGCCAAGTTTCCCAGCTTTTACCACAGTCTCGGGTATTCTACATCATTATCCCAAGTTGCAACTCTATTTTGGAAACTGAGATATGGGAACCGTGGCACGAACGTGGTTAATTTTTCGTGCGTGCCTGCGCTGCAGAAAACTGGTTCCATGAGCCTGGAGGACTGTTCTTGCCTGGATGGCGCCGAGAGGGAAGCAGTCTCGGAACTTCCTTACCTGGGCCTCTGCAACGAACAGTGCCAAAACGTCCTCTTTTTCATCGTCCTGACGTCGCTGATGGGCTTCATCACCCGGACCACCACCGTGGGACACACCATCGTGGGGCTGAGGTACGGATGTTGTCTCAACCGTCGTAATACGAAGCATTTTGGTGTCTGAATTAGCGGGCATTTATTAAATGCATATACATGGCAACCGAGGAGCAGTAGGAGAGGAGAGCGCGCGGGGACGGCAGACCGCCGAGCTCCACTCGAGCGCGTTCGAACGCCGAACACCGTCGTCCGGCTTTCGCGTTCGTACAGTGTGTAGAGACAGTCAGCTAGCTTTGCGCTTACCCACCAATCATCCCAATCAGAGCTCGACGTTCTGCCCAGTCCCTGCACACTCTCATCTCCTCCTCCCCCTCTCGCTCAGTTTCTACCTGTATACACTCCGTGCGACGCGACCGGCGCGTTGCCGCGCGGCCGTTGCCGAAGGTAGGCAGTGGGAGCCCCTGCGAAACGAAACTACGCCGCGCGCATTGGTACGCATTGAAGTCGGAGCGGTGCGGTTGCGCTGGGTCGACAGCATGAACTGCCGCGTCGTTAAGTGCTCCAATAGTTATGCGTCGTATCTCGTGGGGACGAAGTTTCGCAGTTTTTCACCTCGCCGATGTTTTGTGGGACAGCGACAACGATGGACCCGTGCCGTACGACTCGAGAAATTTGGTCTCCCGATCATGTTTGCCACTGCTTCGGCACGGCTGACATATTCTACACTGCATGCCGCTTTGCGCTCTGCGTTCGTTTTCGTACCAGTAACGCCTACATATCTCAGCTCGAACTGAAATGCAATCCCACACTCGCGTGTATGCAGTGCGAATTTCGTTAAAGGAATGCCCACAAAAAAAGTTTCGTCCCCATCGTACGTGTCGATGATATTTCCGGACTAGTATGGCACGCGGTCTGTACTTCATGAAGAAAGATTCAGACGGTACAAAAGGTGACAAATATGAATCTAAGGAAAACTACAATGAAACTTGGAATCACTGGACAATTGATGTTTGAGTATGGAAGTTTATGTGGTGTGCTTTCTTTTTTTATCAGCCTCCTTTTGGATGTGGAAACGCTGACACCCCGAGTCTTGTAGAAAACAATATTTTTCTCGGCTTTAGAGCCATTTATTGCAGAGTTATTCGAACTGGAAGTACCGTCCACTGGTCCCTTCCTAATCCTACCCGTAAAGTGTGCACCTCCCGGCCATGATGAGTGGTATTCTCTTTGACAGTCTTTGACGGTCAAAACCGGTTCCCATTTAGTTACGCTGGCCAAAAATATTTCCACCTGGTTAAGCTATGCCACCTCTTTTAGGCATAATAAGTGTTTTGTCAAGTTGCGGTTGTCAAAGTGCCTGTGTGCCGAAAATCAGCACCTCGCTCAACAAGATTACTACACAACAGCTGACCGCAAAAGCCTTTGACGGTCAAACCATGTGTTGGCCGGCAACTTGGTTTTCTCGGCTTTGAAGCTACCTTTCGCAAAGTTACTTCAATTGGAGGTACAGTGCACTAGTCCCTTCCTACCTGTAAAGTATCCATCTCCCACGACGCGTGGTATACTTTTGAGAGCTCTTTCACGGTCAAAACCGTTTCCCATTCAGTTATGCCGCCCAAACCAAATTTCCACCTGGTTTGCCTAGGCCACCTGTTTTTGGTATACAAGCGTTGTGTCAAGTTACGGTCATGTCCAAGAACCTGTGTGTCCAAATCTGCACTTCGCACAGCCCGGTTATAGCACATCATTTTGGGTCCAATATTGGATATTCCTGAGAGCTTTATTCGTTCGAACCATAACTTTCACACCTGCTGTCTTAATAAAACTTTGCACACTTAGCGCACAAACTTAGTGGACATCTCACTCGCCTCCAAATATAATCGTCCCAGCAGCCTTACGTTTACAGCGACGAGCGAAACAAATTTCCCACTGAGAGCAATTATGGTGGCGGCCGTCTTACTTTTTCGGAAAATTGCTCAAGCCCCTTTTTCGACCGCAACTAAAGAAATTATTTCTAATAACGACTCAAACTTAATATATAAAAAGCGGAGAACATCTAAATACCCTTATTAAACCTGCCCCAGCACTCATGCAACGTCACCTTCAACTTATCGACTCAAAAAGCAAAACTTCCGTCCTTGCGCACTTCCGCCGCCACAGCTTCGCACGCGAAAAGGCGCCGCAGGCTGCTGAGCGCGCCTCACTGTCGAACGCCAGCTCCTCCGCTAGCGGCGCTACGCGCGCTTTTCAAAGCGCCCCCTATAGTTCCCGCACGGAGCGTATAGCTATACATGAACCACTTCTTAGCGATTTCTTGTCTGTGGCGTCGAGTTTCGATGGTGGCGTCATGCTGATGACGGTACGGTGTTCGCAGGACGTCATCAGCATTTTGGAAGATTTTCCATGACGTTTTCACGTGAACTCTGATGACGTCACGGTATTCACGTGACGTCGCCAGCATGGCGGTCATCGCGTGATATCAGGATGTCACGTGACATCATAACGACATGTGAAACTGGCGCTACAGTATTACGTTTCCTTGGGACTTCACGTGGTCACGTGATGAAACACCGTGACGTCAGGTGACGCCATGACGTCACAGAGGATCGATAAATGATGGAATATACCACAAAAGATTTTTTTTTCTTTTTACTTTGGTGACGTCACACCAGACGCGCTTGTTTTTGGATTAGCTTTGGCTAAGTGGCGCAAGCCGCCGATCGAATAAAAGGGTTCAGCCCATGGATGAAGCCAATTTTTTCACAATTTTCTCTTCTATCAGCTGTTATCCCCTCCCCCAATCCAACGATGACCGTTCGGCCTATGACTGTAACTCCAACTTTGGTTTTTCCTTTTTTGCAAGACTTCTCTCTCTCTCTCGGATGTAGAAAGCTTCGGGAGGCGGCATGACGCCACCAGAGGTGAAGCCAGAAGTGCGGAGGGACACGCCCATGACGATGGCCAAAATCAACCGCCCATGACGATGGCCAACAGCTGTTTTGGTCACCCTTGGTGCCGTTTCCACCGTCCGCGTCCTCTACTTCCGGCTTCTCTTAGGATTGTGTCGTTTGGCTGGCTTGACTCGGTATATCGCCTCTTCTTCTTCCTACCTCCATGGTTCGGCCGTATCGATCCATCCATCCATCCAGTTTCTTCAAGTCATCAAGCAGAGGCTGTTAAAAAGGGCGCTGCCCAATCCGAAACTGGATTGGTGGGCTCTAGTACGTAAAAGAGCAAGTGTATACACTCCGTGGTATTGTGAGCGCAAACAAGCCACACCTTTTGTTTCTGTTTTTCTTTTAGTATTGAAGGACTGTCATCAAAACTATACTAGAGTGGGGGAAAGTGCTCAGGTCGGGAACTAACCTAAGGGGTAAATTTCGATGCCCACGAGAACCCTTTCGAAGTAAAATACGAAAAAACGCCAAAGTCGTGTTCGCGTTAACGGTATCGCTCGGAATACATACAGTGGCCAGAGATGTGAGCTCGACGTGAGGGTTTGGTGATTTGCTTAAATTTGCAGGACTGTGGCTCGCCATGAAAAGGCCATGGCGCTGGGAGTTCAAGAGGGCCTTTCGAGCATCTTCAGTGAGCTTTTTATTTTTCTCTTTATTAAAGAAACAAGCTGCTCTTTAATTTGTCTCAGCGTGAAACTAAACGGGGCGATTGTCACCCACTCTCCGCACACTACAGTACACTCATACAGGTTACAGCGCTCTCCCGATGAAATGAGAAAAATTTCGTATTTGCAGTACTGGCTCGTGTGTGCGTGTGCGTATATATGTGAGGGGGGCAGCAAAGACAATAAAAATTTTAAAAAATGTTTGTTTTTTATATATTTATAATGTTTTTACCTGAAATATGTTTGATAGAGAACGGGTAAGGTCAAAATTAAGTGCGCTTTAGCAACTGTGAAAGTATAGATATATGGTCCTACACACAGACCGCCGTAGCCGTGTGCGTTGTTCCTGAGCATGCCTGACATTAAAGTCCCACCTCAGCCATTTCATATATATTAATTATTTCCTATTTAAAATACGATTATTCGAAAATCTCGTAACTTTTGAACGAGATAACGGTACGCTTTGAAAGTTTGACACACGTTCCAAACTGCTATCGCTTCGTTTGTACGAAGAGTGGGCGTTCGGCAATGCGTAGCTTTGTTTTTGTAATTGAGGAAGAAAAAAAAAATAAAAAAAATGTTTTGGAGATTATAAGGCTGCACTGGGTGTTCTACTGGTCTGCGATTCATTACTTGCATTGGCATACTTACATACTCAATGATTTTTTTTTTTTTTTTTTTTTTTGTGCTAGCGGTTGGTTACATTTGAGCATGAGGTATTTGTTGCACTGCACCTACACCGGAATATGACTCCGTCGGCTTGCGAATCCTCGAGTCGGAATTTGACCCTGTCAAGTCGAAAAACGTAAACTCAAATTGTGCCTCCAAGTCAGGGGCGTCGATGCTACTGGAAATTTGAGTTTATCAACTTTTAATAATAAAAGAAAAATTAAAGTTAATTTAGTGTGTCGAGTGGAAGAACGTCGCGTGCTGCTCGTCTTCGCCTTCTGTGGTCCCGTGAGAATATCAACAGTTGGGTCGCTTTCTCACTACTTATTTTATGCGGCTTTATTATGATCATATTTCCTCGATGTGGGCCATTGCGCACCCGTCGGTCTTTGTGGCTTGTTAACAGCTCTCAGGCGCCCGAGACTGATGCGTTTACTGCGTCCACAAATGTGGACGCAGTAAACACATAAGTTCACGGAAGCTTCTCGAGCAACGAGGTGGTACGCTTCGACGACAGCGACAGTGGCGATCGCTCGTCTATTCTGCCGGCACTTCTACGACTAGCCGCCAACTGACAGCATATGACACGCCGTCTCCTGTGACGTCATTTTTTACACTTTGGGGCCACTTTGGATACGTGAACAATACGCAGCTAGAGCGCTAAACGCGCCAGTCGAGGAAAAGACTTTGCCCTTTTTATGCAGCCTACATCCCGTACCCCATCTTGTACGGCGCCATCTTCGACTGGTCCTGCCTGGTGTGGGAGGACAAGTGCGGTCAGCCGGGAGTGTGTTGGATCTACGACACCGAGAAGTTGCGCTACGCCTACCACGGACTGTCTTCGGGCATCCTCTTGCTGGCTGTTGTCTTCGAGGTGATGATGGTCTACCACAGTGTTCGGCTGCGGGACTTCTACGATGACGCAACGCCGAGCGGCCTGTGGGAAAGACAGCGGCAGCAGCCGCCACCTCCCGCAACGAAGGATGAGACTGCTAGAATGCTCGCTGCAGAAGACACTGTCAGCCTAGAAAAGGCCGCCTGCTCAACAATCCCTTTACATTCTCAAGCAGTGGTATATTCATCCGGATAGGGTCACTAAATGAGCCACGCTTCAGGGTACTTTGCCTGGAACGCGTCTCCGACTGGCGTGTTTACCGCGTCCAAAAAAGTGACCCCTCGGTGTCCGCCTGAGGACGTCAAAAAAGTATCATGCTTTCGACGGCCCTGATCTTGGCGGTATCACAGCAGCAGTGGTGGATGTGGCAGGCGCCTGTACTGCTGCAGGTCGCTCCCCAGCTTGACAGTCCACGGAAGTTTCAGAAGCCAGGAGTTGGGACACCGCGACGACAGTGTCACACGCGTTCCCTCGTGCGTTTTTGATGTCTTTGCATTAGAACGCTCGTTTTGACGAAAACCCGGCGGTGTCTTTCGTTTGTCAGCGCCGGGGAGAGAGGGACAAGGGGAGGGAGAGAGTGACGCGTGCGACATTCCCATTGTTCCGATGCGCTGACGTCAGCGCGCGTCAACCTCTCCCTCTCTCCCCGGCGCTGACGAACTGACAGACACCGCCGGGTTTTCGTCAAAACGAGCCCTTTCGATTTCGTAAGAGGAGTGTCGCGCTGGTGGCGCTGAGCCAGAGAAGAGGAGACGCCGCGGTGAGGTGGATTGCGGGCGTGCTCAGTTGCCGCTCTGCCATCGCCGGTTGTTCTTCGCTCTGGGTTTCTGTAGTAGCGGTGCGTGGGCTGTGATGTGTGTGTGTGTATAGTTAAAACGATGGATGGCGGTTGCCTCCGCGAGTGATATGAATGCGATTCCTTCCACGAGTGGTAAGAATGTGGTTCTTTCCGCGAGTGATATTGATGACCGTATTCAAGGGCGTCGACGTACTCCGAAAGGCAGAGTACAGAAAAAAGGTGGAAAAAATTACAAGATCTATTGGTGTATTCTTACGGAATGTGTTAGCATAACCCTTGGAAAACGCCACACACGTCCCCTTTCGGGAAACGCTAACACTGACCCCTTAACGAGGTCAAAAGGGTCAGCAAAAATAGAGAGAAAGCCAAAGAGAATTAAAAACAGCGCGAAAAGACGAGGACCATACAAAGAAGTGACACGGACGCAGCGCTTCGTCCGTGTCACTTCTTTGTCTGGTCCTCGTCTTTCCACGCTGTTTTTAATTTCGAAGTATGTACCAACTCACCCAAGCCTCAACTTTAGCCAAAGAGAAAGCGAAGACAGAAAAGTGAAAAAGTCGGCATTAGCAATTCCCAAAGGGGGGAACTTGCGTGGAGTTTCCCAAGAGTCATGCTATTGCATTTGCTAAGAATCCACCGATTGTAATTTAGTTTTCTCCAAAATTTATACGACCAACCGCCAGGATCGCGACATCCAGCCGCGTGACACTGGCTTTTGAAACGCCATTTGTTGCCACTCCGGGGACACTTTCAATGCATTGGCGGAATGGGATTCTAGACATAGCAGTTCGAGACGCGTTCCAGCCACCATACTTTAGACCACACTTTAGTCATTGGTTGGATTAGATTTGATTTGATTTCTTCGGCTTCTCCCTTGTAATGGGTGATCACAGAATTTCGGATTCTAGATCTAGCCATTTGGCTTATCTGCCATTTCCACTTCCACTGTCTCTTTCACTTGAGACTGGAGTTGGGTCCGTCGGTGCTAGGGGTCGAAGGACGAGGCAGAACGTGGCAGAACGTGGCAAATCCTGAACACTGAAATCAGTTTTCCCGAGAGAAAGAACGAGAAAAAGAGCGAAAGAGGAGCAGAAAAAGGAAGCAGACGAAAGGTTGGGAGTGTTCGCTTTGCCTCGACAGGTTGAAGTTGTTCGAGAGCTTGTCAACCTTATTTATTTTTTCACAGTGCGGAATTCCAGTGCTTTCGTGTAAAGTGAGCTAGAAAATAGCTAGATAGAGACCTTAAAAGCGATGCTTTGCTGCCTCTATGTGAATATTAAGGCGTCGCCAGAAATATGGTACCATCGGGACCACCAACTGGTACCACCGATGCCTGCGTCTATGCCCCACCGTTCCGAAGCGGCCCGAATGCATGGGACCTTTATCCCTAGAATAATATATTAACTCTATGGTTAAAACTCAAAATATGGTTGCCAGGTATTTGAATTTTTTTTTTTGAATTCGCAGAAAACGGTGTTCTGTCGACCAGGATTGTTTAAAAATCGCATTTTTTAATTGTAACGGTCACCATTTGCGACCACATCAGCACTAAGCACCAAAATGGCGGCGCCCTCAAGAAAATCGGGGATTGATGTGCCGATGGTCTAAGCGTAGATTATACGGAGATCTCTTCTCATAAGCATATGCGTGCGCACATGGAACTGCGTTTTGTTGTTGTCGTTCTCGACTCGTTGGAACATTCTAAAGGTTTGTGATATACAAAGTGGGCTGCTTCACATGTGTTATTTTCTTTTACCGTAGAGCCTTTGAACGGCGCACATGGTTCGCCCATCACAAATGTCTCAATTTTTTTTTTCTGAAAGAAAAAATAAATTCTAGGTATTTATGCATTTCCTGAGGCTGATATTGTTATCAGGCCTGGCGAACTGGTTCGCGATGATGTATGTTCATTGCTCATCAGATTTCCTTGTAGTGAAACCGGAGAATCCATATATCCAAATTGCTGTGCTGAAATTCGCTTCCCGAATAGCTCTAGTGGAAACTCACGTTGCACGCGTGGCATGGGCTGGTTCTCCGATTGCTGAAAATGCGTTTGGCAAATTATGTATTAATTTTGAATGTAACATATAGCTCTTGAAACCCTAAAAGGATAAAAAAATTGTTAAACAAAAACTCGCGTATATATATTTCTTTTCTTTTTTTTTTAGAAAAGCTATAGTTATTTACGTCTCCCTTTGCCTTCTTTCTGAGAAAGTTGGTGAGGAGAATGGCGGGGAACCGCAAAGTACAAATGAGATCTTCCTTGCTTTGGGCGATTGAGATGACCCGTTATGTCTATTCAATAACTGGGAAGGCACAAATTCCTTCGTGACCCGTTCAGACAGAAGGACCGCCGTTGTCGTACTACAACTTGTGTTTGTTTTTTTCGTTCTTCTTTTTTTTTTTTTTTTTTTTTGGGGGGGGGGGGGGGCTGCATTGAAAGGTGATAGAAGTGGGACACGTCGTGATGTCACATCGAAGATGCGACGCTGCATTATTCCCCGGTTTCGGCATTCGAATATGCCGGGTTGGGCTTATGTCTTGCTACCCGAACTCTTGCCTGCCCTATAACCAATATTGTATGCGTTACTAAAAACTTTTAGCCTTTCCACTCTGGTGAAGAAAAAAGAGCAGCGGAGCTGTACTATGTGGCGCCATCTATGAGCGACGGCGGTAGCTGTCCAGAGGGTTGTGTCGAGATTTATGTGTCAATGGACACGAAACTGGGGAAACTAGCCCTTAAAGGCTCCGGTGTAAAAATAATCGATTACAATTGCAATTATATCCTTGTTAAAGAAAGTATTCATTTAGATTACGTGATTACTTGAAGAAAAAAAAGTAATTGGCCGTTACTTTAAAAAAATCCATTACTTTTTCGATTACTTCAGATTTCTTAAATAATAGATTTTCTACCAGCTCAAAAGACGTGTGTCTCGTACTCTTCATTGTTGACTTAGAATCGCCGAACTATGAGCTACATATCTTCTTGACCCACCAATTTCAGTAAACCAAGCCAGGTTCGATGATTCCTTGGTAGAAAACTTGTGCAAACAAAGGGTGTTATTATAAAGTGGAGAGAACAATAGTAACGGTGACAAAGAATTGGAGTACTTCAAAAAGTAATCAGATTACAACCGTCGAGGAATACAGTTGTCTAAGGGGGGGGCCGTCACAAAAGGCTTTGACATGCCCGCCAATACGGACCCCTCCCCCTCTTTCCTTCGGCTCCCCTTGACGGCCAGACTCTCCAGCATGCCCAGACAAAATTAATCTCTCACAGAGGACGAAAAACTATTTGAGCAGGACAAATCAAACATTAAAAACCGTAAGCAGTAAAACATAAAAGCGGAACGCGATAGCGTTGTCGGGCCCCGTTCGCATAGCTTTCTCAATGGCTTCTCATGTTGTTCCTGCCAGTGAGCAGGAAATGCGGCGGACAATGTGGCCTAATCAGTAGCGCGTCTGGCTCGCAACCGACACGTCGTGGGTTCGTGTGTCTTCAAATTTTTTTTAGGCAAATAAATTACTTCCTAAAGTGAAGTCATTCGAGACATGTGGCGACGTTTAATTCGCATTACATGTCATGTCTTTTAATCACTTTCATTCCACGCGTGACGTCGCGTTTCACGTGAGCGTTGTGCGTTGCTTGACATTCCCGCTCGAGGTCATGTGGCTGTGACGTCATTACCCCATCGACCAATCAGCATTTTCGCGTCCGCCATTTTCTCGTCACGCCCCCGACGCCGGCTTTTCTGTGCCACGCACTCCTTAGCGCTCTCGCGTTAAAACACTGCATGCAAAACCAAGGCAATACATTCAAATTGACCGCCACTTCGTGGCAAAAAGCGACGGCGCACATTATTTTTTTTTAAGCCTGCACACGGCAAACAATGCGGTAGCATGCAGCAACATAGCAGAAAAAAATTATGATCCCGTTTTTATATGATCCCGTTTTTAATATGGAAATCGGACGACTATCATTCTGAACTTGGGTTTCTTAGAATGCTTCGAGCCCGTAGATTGAGTTATGCCCATAAATAAACGATAACAAAAAACACTTCAATACCCGTTCACAAAAAAAAATAATAAAAAAAAGCCAGCAAAAATGCTACTTGAACTAAGGAACGACCACATTCGCGCTACGCTTTCGTATTATCCGATGCACAAACGTTTATTTATTTTTTTCGCCCACGACTCAAGGTCATGGGCAGTGGCACACATCCGAAATCTGCAATCAGGGCTGGAATCAGACAATCTGCAGTGTGTCTCGTGTAGCCTCGAGTCTTGTGCTCATAATTCGCTCCGGGGAGCAAAAGGAGCCCAGCGGAGGACGTCCGAATTTAGCGGGGCGCCACCACCTCCCCTCCGTCGAGCAGCTGGGACCTATAAAAAGCGGAGCGTCGTGTTGGTGCTTTGAATTCTTCTAACGCCATTTATATAGCTTCCTCGACAATCCGGCGAAGGCATGTGGCAATCGACCGTTCCAGCGGAGCCAAGACAGGTGACCGAGGGTTGTATAGACTTGCGTTTTGTTGAAGGCGATGAAGTTTATTCAGCGTCCTTTGGACTTTAAGAAGTGCGACAATCTCACCAAGTTATAATCAATGCGCTTGTGTGTGTGTTAGGGGAAAGGGCGTGATTAGTTTTTTTTTTCGCTTTTAAAACATTACCTTTTCTTAACCACACAAACAGAATGGCCCAGACTAGAAACCGAAACAATGACTTTTGACCCGACCCAGAGGTACCATGTGTGACCCGTTGTCCAGAACGAACCTTGACGAGCTAAAAGGTAGACCCCCCTTTGTCAGTAGTCCGAGATTTCAAAGGAAACTAAAGTGACCTCTCCTCGGGACGACTGACCCTGTGCTTTTATGAGATTTATCTGCAAAATACGGTCTTTTTTGCTTTTTTATATTGGTGTCATGACTTCGAAATTTTGA